CAAAGTCTCCCTCTGGTAAAAGTTTTATTGTTTCGTGTTATTTACACTAATTAACATTTAGATGTTGCATGATTTATGGTTTATAAGAAACTAGAATTAATGTCATTATTCAGGTAAACTGATTTGCGTGATTTATCTCTACTTTTCGACCAAGTTAGATCGCCTGTTGTCACGAGTAGACTGAATGTAACGCTGTCATGTCTCAGCTTCCGAATCAGAAGCATTTTCTTCTACCCACTGTTTGTCAAAAAAAATTTTTTTTATGTAACTTAGAACGTAAATTGTGTGGTATCGAGGGTTTCTGAACACAGTACTGGCCATGTTTTTATTTAACGCATTGTAACGACTATTTATACATACTTATTATCGGGACTTAATGCGATTTGATTAAAGTTAAGTATAAATTTTCGAAATATGACTTACTTTATCATTAAAAGAGTTTATTATATGAAAATAGTAATATTAGAACCCACAACGTACATACATGATTTTTATTATTGCCCACGTTTTTTTTTATACCATTGAGGTGGTAAACAAGCATACGGCCCACCTGATGGTAAGTGGACACCGTAGCCTATGAACACCTGCAATACCAGAGGTATTACGCGCGCGTTGCCTACCCCGAAGAAACCTGTTTACTCCCCTTTTGAAGAACCCCATGCTGTAGTCTGTTGGGAAAACCTCGGCAGGGAGCTCATTCCTGATTGTTCGTGCACGTTTCGTCGTGACTTATAATATATAATTTTATAACGATTGTAATAGCTTTTGTTTTTTGAGAAGAGAAATCTTTAATTCTGGCCAGTACTTTTATCTTTAAACGGCAGAAATTTTATGCAAGAATTTGGAATTGAATTTTGGCCAAAATCCAATTGTGCTTTTGTAAACGTACTGAGGGATCAGACGTGACACTAAAAGTTCTCGTATACGCTCTATGTCCATCCAAATACAAATTGTTGTTAATTTCTAGTGAATTCGTCACGATGGACCACCTGACTTATTCCTCAGCTTTTATCATTCACTCATCAGAATACCTAGATATCGCAGTTTTTTTTAATGCGTAAAGATGGAATGGTAACCCTGTCTACGCTGTTAGTTTACAATAGCGAGAAGATAAATTAGTATGAAAGTTGGTGATTTGACCCATCGTGAGGAATTCAACAACAATTAACTACAATGGTTTCCAGGGGGGATTGGGTGACAGGGTTAATTGCTAGCAATGGGGCTCTTAGATCCCATAAGTGACAATCCCTTTCCCTCCTCGCAGTTGGGGTCACCATTTTCATCTTAAAAAAAATTCCCCGTGTTCAATGTTAAAATCATAACTCTCCCTAGATCATTCGTAATCGGATAAATAAAGCAACAAGCCAATTTTAGACCTCATTTCCCGTTACGATCCCAAGTTTACGAGCGTTCAGAAACTGCTCTTATATATATTCCCTTTAAAAAGTATTTTAAGTATTGTCTAAGCGGCTTAACTGAGCCGCCGTTTAACACACAATTTAACTTTACCGACTGCAAATTGTGCCCGGTCCCAGTGGAGTCACTAATTTTATTGCAAGAAACATTTGATTGTTTGTTTATATATATTGGTAAAACTCAAAAACGATTCGAACAGATTTTTAATTTTTTTTTTCATCTATAGAAAGTTACATTTTCGGTTAGTAACGTAGACTGCTTATTTTCGAAAATTTGGTCTACCCGTGCGAAGCCGGGTCGAACCGTTAGTGTTGAATAATTCTGTACGATAACCAACCTCAAGCTGATATAATGGTACTGCTGATTTTCTTATTTTGATTTTAGTGTAAAGGAGCGGGCACCAGTGCGAGGTGATAGGTGAGAATGAAAAGACAGGTCAGTTAGCCCATCGTGATGAATACACCAAGAACCCCGAATGTTAAGGTTTTCGATTACACGTAATATATGGGATGGAGAAGGATATAGGGCTACTTCTTAACCCGGTCAGTAAACATGTCCCTGTCACGCGGACGAAGCCGCGAGTTAAAGCTAGTATATAAGATCAGTATGAATATCAATATTGTATAGAATATTAGATTACGTTCGTATAGCCCGCTGTGTAGGTTGGCGTATTTTTCACGGGCTGATTGTAAACTCTAATTGCATTTTGTACGAGCGCCGCCGCAAATTAATCAGATTAACTTATTGCTACGTTACCTTTGTTTCAGGTAAGTTCGTTCACCTGCTCGTTGAGCTACGTACATGGAATACTCCTATTTACCATGTATGGTAAGTTCTTTTTTACAACACAGGGGGCTAACGAGCATTCGGCTCACCTGATGGTAAGTGACTACCGTTGCTCATGTTCACCCACAACACAAACGCCATTGCAGGTGTGCTGCCGACGTTTTAAAAAGGAATATGATCTTTTCTTGAAGGTTATGTTGTCGTATCGGTTCGGAAATACTGCTGCTGGAAGTTGATTCCAAAGAATGGTTGTGCGTGGAAGAAAGTGTCTTAATAAACGCACGGTGGAGGACCGCCACTCGTCCACATGGTTGGGATGAAACTTTAGTTTATAGCGGGTTGTACGGTGGTGAAAATCAGCAGCAGGTATCAATCCGAACAATTCCTCAGAGCACTCCCCATAATAAATTCGGTAGAAGTGTATGTATACAAAAAATGGCAAACATTACTAAAGAGTGTGGATTGAACAATCTTTTTTCTGAACTAGATGTTATTTTGCGGAAGTCCATATTACTGGTTATCATCGTCATCAGCCATTATCTGTCCACTGCTGGACATAAGCCTCCCCCATAGACTGCCTTACAGTCCTGAGCCACCTGCGTCTACTGACTCGCTACAATGCATTTCAGGTGATCACTGGTTATATTATATTTTGCTTAATTCTGATACCATTAGTATATGTGTGACTGCCAACACACGAAGATAGACTGCTATTACTAGAAGTCCTACAATTTTAATTCACTAATTCTACCGTGAAGCTGTTGTGTTTGCATGGCTGTGTTTCGGTTTGAAGGGTGGGATATGGCGTGAACTTACTGGGTACAGAGGAATAACACCTGAGTCCTCAGGAATGGCAACGCATGGGGGGTATCATGGGCGAAACAGTATACTCTGTTATATCCATGGTACAGCTCATGGCTATAGGCGACGGTTACCACTTTCTATATCAGTATCGGTATCAGGTGGGGCGTCAGCTTGTTTGCCATTTCTAAGTTGTATAAAAAAAATCAATCTCCGACTGCCATTTCATCCAAGCACGTTTAGCGACACGTGTCGCTAAACGTGCTTGGACGAACCTCGTTTAGAGGTGAACTCTAAACGAGGTATCTTTAGGCAAATTAAGAGATGGCTGCTCGGAGTCTAGTGTTAATCGTTCGACTCCCAAACTTTTGCAGTTTAGCAGAATGAAACGAAATAATTCAAATCAAATAACCATTAATGTTTTGTATTTTCAATCCAAAAACAAAAGTCGTTCTGGCTAAATCTCGTTCTTCTGCGATATTCTGTGAAATTACAAGTTCGCAGGTATAATCTTGGTTCTTAGTAATTCTAACTATAGGGGGAGGGGGGAACTGGTCATTGTTCTATAAAACTTTTCATTTATGTAGGCGAATGTTACAATTTATTAACAAGTGAACTGTTAACCTGCTCACTATATGAAGTTTTCTGCTTCGCACGATAAAAATGGTAAACCACTTTTTAGCAGCAGTATTTCCGAACAATCAGATACGATATTGAAATCTTCAAGAAAAGAACATATTCTTTCTTAGAAAGGCGGCAATACACCTGTTATTTCTCTGATAATGTTAGTGCTAATGATTGGTGGTAGTCGCCATCAGGCTAGCCACATGCTCGGTTGTCGCTTATGTTATAAAAAAGGTACATATAAAAAATATCGTCTCGACCTCGACTACCTTGTTTTCTTGCGATCTCCTCATTCAATTGTCTCTTCATTTTGTGCTCTCTTTATTCTAAGAATTCGTCATTTTATATATTTTTTTTTGTTATTAAATCTACTGGAATGTGATATATGAGAGGTGGTAAGCAAATTCTTTGGCTTTCATGCTGCTTATATGTACCTATAAACAACGACTAGCACTTTTATCAAGTCGGTCGATGACTTGTTTGAAAGAATTTTCCAAATCGATATATGTGTAACTGATGGAGTTATGAGGTAACAAACATAAAAAATGCAACCGAATAGAAAACATCCTTCTTTTTGAAGTCGGTTGAAAAAGTAACTACTCCGCTAACGCTGGATTTAATAAATGAGTAAAGATATAAATAATCATAATAATAGAAACGTACACAGATATTCGTATGTACGCCACCCGTTATTGGTTTATATAATATGTTAAACGCCATTCCCTCACACGTCACGTAACACGTTCACCAGAAACACCAATGCAGGAATAGTTTTCATCAATGCCGGAAAACCAACGTAATCAGATCGCATTGTTCTCCCGCGCTCGCTTACACAGCCGGCTGGTGCAAGAAACACGCTCGATCCACACAATTTTATCTCCCAAGATAAATTTCTCAGAAGAAAGAGGAATTTATAGTGTTCGATTTCAAAAGAATAAATTGTATTCGGATTACAGAAGTGTCTACTTTCAATGTAGACTAGTTTTTGTCTGTAACTGCATACGGTTGGGTTTTGAAATTAGATAGTCATTTCTAGATGATGTAAAAATTATAAATCATCAGTTTTTAAGGTAGACCTTTTAGAACGTAACATAACTATGTAAACCGTATTCAGTGTGCTGTTTTTTACACGATGTTACAAATAATACAGACAGTCAAAAATTTTAAACAGTTTGCTTGCTAGCAGCAATGAGCTAGGAGCTGTTAATGCCCATTACTAAACAGTCCTCTCCCCCCCGATGAGGTATTAAAGTAAAAAATAACTCGCGACAGCTTGTAATTCGTACTTCGACTCGGCAACAATGCAACTCGCTACCCACATAGAGCCGCAAACAAAAGTGCACGTTCAATCTGGCTAATGGAGGGAACTGATAAAGTCGACGCCATTACGCCCATTCTAGTGTGAGATGTCTCGTCTCTCGCTGCTTGCTTGTGTACCTCATTTGCGGATTTGGTTGCATGCTCATAGAACGAATAATAGTAGTATACTCAATGTTCATGGCCATATCTTTAAAGAACTGATCAAGGGATCAATTAAAAACCCCAAACTTATAAAGAAGAGCTCCTATCGAGTCCAAAACTAGTCTTACAATCTCGCAGTTAAATACGTGAGTAAAGCAGATATAAATATTTATAATTCATTCTTCCATCCTCACGAAATAGGCAGAGAGAATTGAATCTCTTAGGAAATCCCTATGAAGAGTAACATTTAAGTCAAGTTGCCAGATCTTCAGATGGGACTTAATTTTTGAGTGCAAACTAAATTCGACTTTATGCCGAAGGCGGCAAGGTTTGCGTTTAACTAAATTTAACTTTATTGAGTACACACACCGAGTATATTAAATGAAATTGCTATTAATTTAGAAGTTCTAAAATGCAATTATTAATATTTTCTTTTTTTCTTTGCGATTCTTTTTTGTTAATAGAAAGCCTTTATGCTAATTTTATTAAGATTGAAACTGGTTTTACTGTGGAGCCAAATTTTTAATTGTATTAATTAATTACTTTGTATTTTTTTATTTTAATTGGAATGATGCAATACTTTTTCGTATAATTATGTAAATATTGTTGCCCTCATTACTTGTGTGCAAGTGATAAGCTCAATACGAATAAAACTCACACATAAGAACCTGCTATCTAGAAACACCAAAATCGTTATCAAACAAATTAACATGAAGTATTCATTCTCTTGTTGTCAGTATTCGAATGTCACATCAAACAGACACATGGACTTCACGGGGAAGGTCGCTTTAGTGACCGGAGGCAGTTCTGGTATAGGAGCTGCCTGCGCTAAATTGCTAGCCATCCACGGAGCACAAGTCGCTTTGATTGGACGTGATGAACATAGACTTAATAAAATTGGAGAAATATGCCACAACGCCAAAGGCATACCGCCTCTACTGCTGAAATTAGATCTGACAGAAGATGGGAAGTGTCAAGAGGCTGTTGAAAATACAATCCAGAAATTCGGGAGACTCGATGTTTTAGTGAATTCAGCAGGAAAATGCGAGATCGGATCTCTATTGGACGAGACCACAGACGTCTTCGATAATCTAGTAAAACTAAATCTCGGAGCTACATACAAAATGACACATTGTGCTTTGCCGCATCTGATAAAAACGAAAGGGAATGTAATCGTCATCGCAGCGATGTTATACAAGAAGGTCAGACACGGTTTTGTACCATTTGACGTAGTGAATGCTGGATTGACCAAATTCATCAAGTCCGCTGCAGTCGAGTTGGCCACTGTCGGAGTGAGGATTAATGCTGTGAACATTTCAGTGACGAGAACAAATATAATGTCGAATATTAATATCGAAAGTCCGGAGGAGAGGGAATCCGCGTATAGAGTACTTGAAAGTGTTAGTAGAATCAAGATATTGGAGCCAGAGGAAGTTGCAAGGATGGTTGTTTTTATTGCTAGTAATATGTGCCCGAGTATGAGTGGAGCTAATGTTTGTATAGACAGTGCGGCTACGTCGATGTAGTAGACCGTAAATACATACTTGTTATATTGAATAATAAATACGAATTCAAACTAAACCTCTCCGTTAAAGGTAATTATCGCTAATTAAAGAATAAGTCACACAGTGTGGCATATACATTTACCACAAAAATTTGAAACCTACTTCATATTTTACTTCAAAAATTATTAAAATATTTTTTTTTTTACGCTCAAAATTCAAATTTCTATATAATTATATTCTTTATTGCACTTGTAAGTTACATATAAAATAATGTATTTATAAATGTTGTGTCTAAATGGTAGACTTATCTCTGACAGAGATCTCTTCCATACTTCTTAATAAAAGTCTCATGGTTTGGTTAAATTTAAGATCGCTAGCAGTGTATTTTATAAATAATCAGGAATATTAAAAATTGTCAAACAATTCTGACGTGCTTCGTTATGAACTCTCTTAATTTTAGTATTATGATTTTAACAGCTTTCAGCTACTAAATTCACTTGTCACTTTATCAAAACTAGATGTCCAATTAGTGTAAATCACATTTAAAATGTACCTTTGAATCTTCTCAATTGTGTTCAAGTGCTCAAAGGTAGTGGCATCGTGCCCAATTCAAAACGTGATAATATCTTAATACGACCAATTAAATTCTGTTTATTCGGTCATTCCAAGGAATTTAATTTACTTGTATCTATCTATTATAATCAGACAGGTCATTTAATGAGATTGGTAAAACGTTCATTTCACGCCACTGCTATATATAAATGCACCTGGGTACTAATATTATTTCTCGGGAACTGATTTTTGTTGTAACTATGTACTCATATATATGTTTTAATTTTTTTTATCCCTGATGTATGTTTTCATCGATCACAAAACCTGTTATATTGTCCACAATCAATTTAAAAGTATATATTCACTAAAAGAGTTCTTGTATATCTATGGCACAGATAAAAAATAAGATGTACACTATCTGTTCTTTAGATTTGATGTTATTAATTATTAGAATTCTCTGAAATCTATATTTATTTGTAATAAGGTATAGGAAAAATTAAATTTAGTTCTTGTTGTTTTTGTAAAATTTGCATGCAACAATAAATTAGAAGAATCGTTTGCCACAGCTAGCTGCATAGCTTGTTCTTCATAAACTGAACAAATTAACATTAAATTATTATTCGAAAATATCAGGTTCGTGTCCTATCACGGTCACCATAATATTGGGTAGCACAGTTTGCTTAATATTTTTGTATCGATACGTTGCAGAAAAGGTAAAATTAAGGTAATATTGTTGGATTTTATTATTTTTTCAAGCTTTTGGCAAAAATAAACAATGCTATTTTTTAGAAAAATAATTTTATAATTTACTAAATATGTAGTTTTTAACAAGAAGCATTTTGTATTTTATGTAATCACAGTAATACCTTATTTTGTACATAAATATTGCGTATGACCTTATCACGAGAAAGATAAGCCAAATAAAACTTGTATATCAGAAGTCGTTATCTGTTTAGTTATCAAGTCAGTCGCTGTATATTGTCGCTCTGTTCAAATCAGTAGCAAAATAATATTAGAGAGAGATACATGGATTTCACGGGGAAGGTGGCTTTAGTGACGGGCGGAAGTTCAGGCATAGGAGCAGCGTCGGCTAAGATACTAGCCACTCATGGAGCACAACTCGCTTTGGTCGGGAGAAATGAGCAACGACTGAATGAAGTTGCAAAGTTATGTTACAACGCGAAAGGTCTACAACCTCTACAGTTGAGAATGGATCTGACAGAAGACGGAAACTGTCAGAAGGCTGTTGAGAAAACAGTTCAGAAATTTGGAAGACTTGATATTTTAGTAAACTCTGCAGGAAAGTACGCTATTGGATCCCTTCTGGATGAAACTACAGAAGTATTTGACGAATTAACAAAACTGAACCTTGGAGCCACTTACAAAATGACACATTTTGCAATACCACACCTGGTGAAGACGAAAGGCAATATTGTAATCGTAACAGCGGCCCAGTACGAGAAGATCAGACACGGTTTCGTGGCTTTTTCGACCATAAATGCTGCACTAAATAAATTCACCAAAATCTCTGCAGTCGAATTAGCTACTTTAGGAGTGAGAATCAATTCTGTGTCCATAACAGTGACTAGAACTAACATATTATCAAACATTAATATCGAAAGTCAAGAAGAACGGGAATCTGTATACAGGGTGATTGAAAGTCACAATAATATGAAAATATTGGATCCCGAAGAAGTAGCCAAAATGGTTGTTTTCATTGCTAGCAATTTATGTCCGAGTATGAACGGAGCAAATGTGTGCATAGATAGTGCAGCGACATCTAGGTAGTGAGTGGACATTTGATTAGGAATAAGTAATTATATGATAGTGATCGTTACAATATTATATTTAAATAAAATATTTTTGCTTTTACTTTTATAAATTCATTTTGTTTATTTTTTTTTCTAAGAGCGTCCGTATAAATTTTTGTCGGAGTGTGGCAACAATACAATTCTCTGTCAATTTTCCATGTTTGTGATTAAATTATTTAAAAAGTGCTCTAATAGGGAACTAAAACATTAATAAGTTGCAAATAATTCTACCACGAAAATGTTTGCACCTACTTTATATTTCATTCTAATCATTTTTTGGTATCAAAATTCAAGTTTTCAAAAATATTTTGATCTGTACTTTATCTTTCCGTATTTTAATTGATTTTTTTATTATCATTTTATATTTTTTATGTACATATTAGGTGCAATAAAGAGTTAAATAAAATAATAGTATTATCTTCAATTATTCAAGACGATGAATAAAAAAATCGACTTTTATTATTTTATATTGAAAAGTACAGTGGATACATATTTAGAACCAGAGGGAGACTTTGTACAAAAGTCGTTTGTTTGGGCCTCTCTGTTCCATTGGTGTTTCTACCGTGAAATAGATGTTTCGGTTTGAAGGGTGGGATATGGCAGTGAATTTAAAGGGTACAGAGGATTAACACCTGAGTATCATGGGCGAAACAGTATACTCTGTTATGTCCATGGTGCTGCTCATGTGTTTAGACGACGGTTACCACTTTCCATCAGGTGGGCCTTTAGCTTGTTTACCATTCTAAGTTGCATAAAAAAAAATTAATATTTTGTAATTTGTCCCGTAGTAATGTATTTAAAAAAAAAGTTCATAATATAGTTTAATAAGTATTTTATTGCATTATTATTAACATTGATGTTTTTTTTTTATATAATCAGTAATAATGTAGTATATACGAATGAATGGAGATGTCGTTAGTGGTTTCATTCGTTCGTTGTTTTAAAATTTGACAAGTGACTCCAACGTTGCCACACTTCGTCTGGCCGACAGGAATATATAGTTTTGCTTTTATGTAACAATATGTATATGATTGTGATTAACGTTATCACTAAATCCGATAAGTCAAAATGTATGTCTGTATATGATGAATTATCTGTAATTACACGCAGAATTAACTTTATGTTTATGCCAATAAGTAAACAGGGGGTCTACCATGAAATGAAATTCCGAATTTTCGAGCTCAATTTCGTGTTTTTGTTCGTACCGAAATCTACCCAGTAACTGGACTTTAACATTTCGTTCATCATAAATCCTACCACCATAGTCGAGAGGAACGATGTTTTAACATTTTTAATAATTTTAAACGGTATGTACTATGTAATTTTAGCATTAAATTTATGTTACGTACGTCTCCGAAATATCGAAAAATATTTCATGGTAGGCCCTCAGATTTCAAGTAGGTTTCTACGTTTTTGGTATATGTTTTTTTTAATGGATGATAATGTAATGGTAACCTCCTGCGCTATCGGTATACACTGGCGGGGCACCAGTGAAGGATGATAGGTGAGCATGATAGCAGGTCAGTTAGCCCATCGTGATGAATGCAACAAGTATTAATCACGATAGTTTCCAGGGGGAACTGCGTGGAGCTCAACCTGATAGGGCTTGCTAGCAATGGGGCCATTAGTCCCCATTACTAACAACCCCTTTTCCCCCTATGGCGGGATGCCAGTGAATGATGAGGATGATACAGGTCAGTTGATCCGTGATGAATTCACTAGGAGTTAATCACGACGCTTTCCAGGGGCAATCTGACCATATATTACTGGCGTTGGGGGTCCCTATTTGTCGTTAAAAATAGTTTCTTTCCTTTAGTCGTGGTGACATGGTTGTCATAGGGATACAACTAGTTTTTACCCGCGACTTCGTCCATGTGACCGGAGTAGGTTCAATGACCGGGATAGAAAGTAGGCTACGCCCTTTTTCATCCTTTATAACATACTAAATTTCATAATGATTTATTAAGCCGTTAAAGCGTAAAGCGTAAACTAATTTAATTAAACAATTAATTAATTATTGAATTATTAAGGATTCTACCACTACTAGTTTTAAAATCTTTCACCTATGGACAACTACATTATTAGAAAGTGACATGGGCTGTATTTTATTAAAAACATACAGATTTGTACATGGTCTACCCGTGACCATTTGGAGCATATGTACAAACATACATACAAAATGGCAAAAAAATACAAGGTTACCTATCTGACTGGTGAATATTATTCACTAACCGTTTCACACGCACTTTCTCCCACGCACAACCACTCTTTGGAATCGACTTCCAGCGGCAGTATTTCCGAACCGATACGAAAACATAACCTTCAAGAAAAGATCATATTCCCTTTTAAAAGGTCGGCAGTACACTTGCAATGCCGTTGGTGTTGTGGGTAACCATGGGCGGCGGTAGTCACTTACCATCAGGTGAGCCGCAAAAAAAAAAAACCTCTTTAAACTACGAACTTGAAATTTGGCATAGAAATTTTTTAGACCTCTTCGTTTTTTGGAACTTTGAAACGTGTGTTTATGAAAATTATTGTATTATGTATTTATACTACTTACTAGCGATATTCCCGTTAATGTCACGTGACTGCGTCCCATAAAGCTGGCTGGCAATTTTTTTCCAAATAATTTCTTTAATTTCCGCGTGGAAGCGTCACAATTTCCGCATCGTTTATATTATCAGTAAACATGATAGATGAATGACAAATTGCAAATATTTACGATTGTTGGCACTCTATGGGATTTTTAAAAATCGAATATTTCAAAAGAAGAAAGTGATTTTTTTTTTAATATTTACATTCCTTCGACGATGCCAGGTCCTTTATTCAATAGACAGACAACCGAATACTAAAGACCTTTTATCTGTCTCCAGCTTGTATCCCGTCTATAATGGTTCAGAACGAAAAAAATCATAAATAAAAAAAAAATGTTATATGAAATTGATATTTACATTTTAATTTTTATTAATGTAAACTAACTTTCTACTAAAAAGCCTTTCGTGGCTTTGTCTGTGTAAATATAATAATAATAATACATTGTAATAATAATATAACTTAAATTTACACATGAGGTATATATATATATATATATATATATATATATATATATATATATATATATATATATATATATATATATATATATATATATAGATACTCTTTATTGTTTACTCCAAAAGATTACAATAGTATACTTATTCTAGATATAAATAATTACAAGAAATAATCACAATGAGAAAACAATGGGCGACCTTATCGCTAAGAGCGATCTCTTCCAGGTAACCTTTGAATGTAAGTATATATATGTATGTATATATACATATTATACACACACACACACATATATATATATAAATATAAACCTATATAAATAAGAATATACTATTTATCTCGGCCGATCATATCCCGGTCACGCGATATGATCGGCCGAGTATAAAAAAACTAGTAATTTGACATTTGTGTAAAATTCTCTGGACATTGTTTTGATGCTGTTGGACAGATGGACGTGTAAAAATAAATGACGGGTCAGGTCGTCCGCGCGTCGATAACGGGTTCAGTGCGGCCAGCAAGCATTCTTAGAAAACGTACGCAGCGCGATGTGAATGTTCGTGTTTGTAGTAATGTCATATCTATTAAACCAGTGTTTCCCAACCTATTTTGTGCGATGCCCCACTTGAACGTTTCCAAAATTTGTATGTACTTGAACTTAGAACTATGAATAGACGTGACAGGCGTATATCTGGTGGCCTACCATTAATTGAAATTCCGAATTTTCGGGCTCAATTTCCTGTTTTTGTTTGTACCTAAATCGACCCAGTAAATGGAGCTTAACATTTCGTTCATCATAAATCCTATCCTAATAGTCCAGAGGAACGATATTTTAATATTTTTAATCATTTTAAACGGCATGTATTATGTAATTTTAACATCAAATTTCTATTTCGTTCGTGCCTGAAATTTCGGAAAATATTTCATGGTAGGCCCTCTGTAGTCAGTTTCAGTGAAGTTAATAAATGTAAACAAAATAATAAGAGATTGTATAATTAAAATTGTAAGTCTTGTTTCATGTCATATGCAAGGATGGCTCATCATTTTCTCGTTTTCGAAGAAGATGCATAATTTTATATATTAAATAACAAAATAGCTATCAAAAAACCTGTCGACAAATCTTTAAATGTAAAGGCAATGCAACCCCACAATCCCCACTTATGGGTACATCAGTTTATTTGGTGTAGTTAACGTATTTTCATCTATCAGCAGATTTCAAGATTTCGATTTTTCTAAAACTGATCACGATCCTTGCTAACCTAAAATAGCTTGCTTTCCGTCGAATTCTATCGCCATTATTTTTTTCGGCAACAAATTGAGTAGTAATTATTAGCAAAGGTTGTCTGTAAGAGATTGCCCTAGCGATAAGACCGCGTTTTGTATCTTTATTTTCAATCTATATTTATGTTAATGTATTTCACTGGAATTGTTCACTTGTTATTGTATATTTTTGTTTATGGTGTAATCATGTTATTATTGAGAGAAGGGGTTTTTCTAGCAGAAAAACTTGTAGCACTGCGACCTCTGTGATCTTGTTTACGACGACGAGTTGATTAACTCAGTTGGGGTCACGTTTTCTACATCCTAACTACAGCGAATAATCATCATCATCATTATCATGATTTAGTCTTCTGCATCTCCTGTTTGATATCCTGGGCTTAACTCCAGAACATTTTATTTTTCTTCTTTGCGAAGACTTATCTTCTTGAAGTCCAGAATTGAACCACTTATCTTTGTGTATCTTTAATTAGCTCTTTTGATGTAATATGTTTCTAATTTCGGCCTCTTCTTTTGCTTTAGAGAATATAAATGTGATATAGATTTTTAGTTCACGCGAGAAACGATCCCATGACTGTGAGTCGAGGTAACCTACTCGTATCACTAGGCCATCGCTCTTAACGTTTATCAACATGCTCAGTAACTGGAATAAGCAAGGACGTAAATATTGCTTTGGTATTATGACACTTGATTTTCCTCTAATGCTTCGTCATGGCAGACGGTAAACAGGAGACCTATCATTATAAAGACAATGTATGATGTGAATATGATCTACCTGCATGACAAACTTTACTTGAAAACATTAACACTTTATTTGTTTCCTCGCCTCTTCCCGTTATATGTATTCACACGGCGCCATTTGTTTCGATGGTATTTGTCACTATCGGTTAGACCAAACTCTTTCATATCCGTCTGGTCATTTGACATCCAGATAATCTGTGGCCTATCTCGTCAGCTATTTTTTACAGCCAAGGCACTTCTTCTCTACGTGGCAATCGGGTCGATTCGTCCTGTGTTCATACCACCTTAGCCTGAAATTTATAATTTTATCTGCGATAAGCGTAACCTTAAAACTACTTTAAATATACTCGTTGTGCACTTTAAGCGCGTTAAGATATTAACACTGTTTAACAAATAAAAATGTCTGATGTCCTTGATGGTTATGCACAAAAAAGGTCGTGCTCTTCTTTCTTGATCGAAATAGTTTCTTTTTCAATTTTGGGTCTTTAGCTCACTTGAAACTGTTCGAATAGTGCTCTCGGAAATTAATGAAATAAACAATGGCTATTTGGTTAACTATTTATCAGTGGCATTAGTTTAAAGATCAGGAAATTGGTGTAAAATGTCACTACATATTGCAAGAAATACTTTAGACATAAAGCTAGTAGTGAATTCTGTGATTTATCGCATTGAAATATTAATTGCACTGTTTGCGTTGTAATCGACACGTAGAGATCATTGACAGGTGTTGAGTCTGCCATATCTGCAGTTATTTATATTTGTGTACTGTAATTAAAAGGTTTTGTATTAACCTGTTGACTACAGCACACTTCGAAGATAGCAGAGGTTAAGGTCAACATAGCCTTCATCGAAGCTATTTGTGTAATTACCACAAACAGGTTCTATTTGACAGTGAATACAGACATCTCAGCTTCGCATCGCTGACAACAACAGTACTGCGCCCAACGCTGAACTTATCAGACGTGTACTGCGCTTTATAAATGGATTTTACCGGGAAAGTGGTCATCGTGACTGGAAGTAGCTCGGGCATTGGTGCTGCAACAGCGAAACTGTTTGCTGAACATGGAGCTCTGCTGACTATAGTCGGCAGAGACGAAGCGAGACTTCTGTCTGTTGCGAACGCCTGCGAAGCGTCCAGAGGAAACAGGCCGTTATGTCTTCTCTTAGACTTAACCCTCGACAGTAGCTGCGACGAACTTGTCAAAAAAACTGCAGACATGTACAAACGTATAGACATATTAGTGAATTGTGTCGGAAAAGCCGCTGTCACGTCTCTCTTCGATACCACAATGGAGATCTTCGATGAACTGGTCGCTCTGAACCTACGCGTTCCGTATAAACTCACTCAACTGTGTCTGCCCTATTTGAAGAGGAGTAAAGGCAACGTTGTTAATATTTTTGGCGCACCCCTAAGGACGAGACCTGGTTTTTTACCATTTGCGATGATAAGGGATGCTCTTGAAAGATTCACGAAGTCTGGAGCGTTGGAGTTGGCGACGGAAGGGGTCAGAATGAACGCTGTCCGTCCAGGAATCACGAGGACAAATTTCTTGGAGAATCTGAATGTCGATCGGGAGTCTATGGATCGAGCTTACGCTACAATTTCATCGATGGTCCCTAATCAAGTCATAATAGAGCCGGACGAAATAGCCAGAATGATACTGTTCACCGCAAGCGACATATGTCCAAATCTTAACGCTGCAAACTTGATAGTGGATGCTGCGTCATCGAGTTACTGATAATTCCATAATTACTGAATAAATATAGAATTTAATTCGCGTCGGTGATATCTGATAAGACTGTTTAGTGAATAAGTTGTTGACATTTCCTTGTCGTGTAATAAAGTATTAATTGGCAATGTTAGTTGTTTATATTAATTAAATTACGAGAATCTCTTGTCGAAATTGGCCGAACACACCCCTGTTTTAGGATGGCAAATAAATTTCAAACATAACTGTCCTTTGAAATAAGATTGAATTTTGCTCAATAGTAAAACTTTGTTACAACTTCGGATCTTTTATTCCATTCGAGTTTCTGTCACCAAGCTGTGCTTACGTGGTTGTATTTGAGTGTGAGGAATATAGCAGTGAAAAAACTGTTTTTTTTATACCACTAAGTGGCAGACAAGCATACAGCCCGTCTGATGGTAAATGTTTACTATGGGTATAGCTTATGGACGTCTGCAATGCTAAGGGTATCACGCGCGTTGCCGTTCTTGAAGGAAACTTAATATACCAGAGGGAGACTTTGTACAAAAGTCGATTGCTTGTGTACCTCTGTCCGATTCGTGTTTCTACCGTGAAGCAGTTGTGTTTGCATGGCTGTGTTTCGGTTTGAAGGGTGGGATATGACGTGAATTTACGGGGTACAGAGGAATAACACCTGAGTCCTCAGGAATGGTAACGCATGGGGGGTATCATGGGCGAAACAGTGTACTCTGTTATGTCCATGGTACTGCTCATGTCTATAGGCGACGGTTACCACTTTCCATCAAGTAGGCCGTAAGCTTGTTTGCCTTTCTAAGTTGTATAAAAAAATCCTTTTCGAAAAACCCCATAGAAAATACCTTTGAAACCGCACTGCACGTGACCATTTAATTTCAAGTGTATAAGGATGAATTCCCTGATGATAGCAAGCTGTGCGATAATAAAATATGGCTGTGGGCATCATTATTAGTGGGAAGTATAAAGGAATGACATCTTAATCCTCAGAAATGGTAATACATAGTGACTGGCATAAATCATAGTGTACTTTATAATGCTCATGATGATGTTTATAGGTTCTAAGCTAGGTTTTTTTATGAAACTTAGAATGGCAAACAAGCTAATGGCCTATTTGATAGAAAGTGCTAACCGTCGCCTACAAACATGAAACTTTCAACAAAATTAGAGTTTAAATCCTAAATATATTGAACTATATAAAAAAATAGTGTATTTTCTAGTTGTCATTCTATCTATCCACATTATATTATCATTACTAAATGCAATTACGCCAAATAGACGTCAACTAATTACATAGGTTCAACGGAAATGGGCCGTCAGAATTTTGCGCCGTCGAAGCATTAAAATCCAGGTTTATTGTTTTAGTCGAGGTTAATGAGACTGTCCTTGTTAATTCATAATAAAGGCGCTCATTTATCCAAATATAATTATTTTGTCTATAAATATAAATATTAGATTAATTAGATAGGAAAGATCACTTTCCATTTAAGCTTCTCCTGCTCCTGCTGGTTACACTGTTTGAGTCATAGATTACTATTTGCTCTTCTATTGCATTTGTTTTATTTAATTGTTTTATATAGTAATATATTATGTATTTATTGTATGTATATATTTATTTATTTAATATATTATGTGTATGTTTATATTATATACATTTATAAAATATTACTTTGTTTTTTCTCTACTCAAAAATGGTTGACTGGTAGAGAACACCGTCCGGTGTTAAGTCCGTCAAATGTACATAGAATTTTACTGTGCATTAAAGTTTAAATAAATAAATAAATAGGTAGATATTTATTTATTTATTTATTTTATTGCAACATTTAAAATAGTTAATACATTTATATAATTTATTTGCATCGCTTAGACCAATGCATGCTTAGATCACTCTGAAAATATAAAGTATGTTACGATGAAAAAATGAATTTTCCAAATCAGTTTATAAATGACGGAGTTTAGATACAATCGAATTGAGAACCTCATTTCTTAAAGTCGGTTGAAAACTGTCACTTCTAGTCATTATTAAATTAATATGGAAGCAATAAGCGAAGAAACGGTACTTATTATAAAAAGGATTGTTATAATCTGTTTAGATTTAGCAAAGATAATCCATGCTATTCTCAATGAAACACCATACTTTTGGACATAGCTTAAAAGCTATAAATATAGTATGTGCATCTCTACTCATTCTAAAGAATGTCTGATAGAGTATGCCTATAGTATTTACCATAGTCCGTCTTTTCTACTTTTTATTGGTCAGTAAAGTTTAAATAAATAAATAAGTATACAGCTCAAGTGGCTTTCTATCCGTCTTCGTCGTAACTGGTACATCCTTTCCCTTCTTTACTCAATTCTCTTTAATCCAGTTACACCCCATTATTTAAAAGAACGTTTTATGTTTCTTGGAGAGAGCAATTCTAATTCTTATTCATTACGTAGTACTGACAACCTCCAACTCATAATTCCTACCCATTCTTCCTCTTTCTACTCCAAATCCTTTTCCGTGCAAGCAGTTCGTTTGTGGAACTCACTCCCTACCCCTATACGGTGCGCTCAATCGTTGCCCATTTTTAAAAACTTAGTTAAAGCCCACTACCTATCCTTATAATCACTTAGTCCTACGTATTCCCAGTTTTATGTGTGTTATATATATGTGTATTAGTATGGTATATTTGTATGTATTTATGCGTATATATGTATATGTATGTATATATATGTATATGTATATATATGTTTGGATGTATGTGTTTATTTATGTATGTGTATATGACTATGCTGTCACAGATATTATTTTTACAAATCTATTTTTTTTAACGCGCCACCTACTTATTTATGCTTTAATTCCTTCTACCCAAAGGTTGTCTGGAAGAGATTGCTTAGCAATAAGACCGCCTTTTGTACTACACTATACGTATTGAAAATTGTTCAACAAATCATGTTATGTTGGTGCAATAAAGTGTTAAATAAATAAATAAATAAAAATATACGTTAGAAGTAAGTAGTTATTATTACCTCAGTATGTTACAAAAAAAAATCAATTAACTATGTTATGTTTTATAATTTCAAGGTTACGTGCGGTTAAGATAACTCGGCGTGTAGACAAACAAAATTTGATTAACAACTTTGAACTTGTAGCATTATAAGGACAAGTGCACTAGTGAATTGGTCCGGTTTCGCACGGGTAGATAGAATTTTCGAAAATAACATATAGCCCATTTTATTCGTTGATAACGTTGCTTACTCTAGGCGAAAGAATTTTTAAAATCCTTGATGTTTTTTTTAAACGATATTTGTTCTTATTCAAAAAACTAAAACTAACAAACCTATTTTAACTATTACTCTATTTTGTCACTTTCTTTCAAATTGGGAATTTAGTGTAAAAGAAAGGGAGAAAACAGTTAAATTTTTGAAATAGGTATATAAGAGATTTGATGGTTTTATAAGTAAGGCTGTTTGAGTTTATTCTTTGCAAACAAACAAATCTTTCCTCTTTATAATGTTAGTATATGTATACCGCCATGAAGGGTCTCATGGGTGTCATATTGTATTCTGTATTGTTCATATTTGTATTTTATATGTTTTTCTTTTTATTCTAATTTCTAAGTAAAATAGTAACGTGTAATCTTCATTATTATGTTGTTTTGTCATATGTAACATGTATAATTTATATTATTTTCTTAAAAAGAGATTGTATCTAATTAATGATATTATTTAAGTGAAAAGTTTGGTTAGTGTATGGTGTAAATAAATAAATAAATAAATATTATTGTCATTTTTCGCCAGCTAGATCCATTGTGGCGTCACTTATCATTTTTTATGCTTGTTTGCAATTTCAAGTTATCCAGTTAATTGCTTAAATAATGCGTTATATAAACAAAAAATTCGTATTGCCCCGGCGTAGACTAGAAATAGAAGGACACTCCTTCCTTTCCTGTGGGTGTCGTAAGAGGCGACTAAAGGAACTTAGTAATAGAAGGATGGGCAGCAGCGTCCCTCTTAAAACATCTCTAAAAGCCTAACTGCGGTTGCCAACCCCCTGCCAAGCGTGGAAACTATTTTCAAAACTCCCCTTTACGAGGATGGCTTATGTTCAGCAGTGGACAGTCAACATCTGATACGATACGATACGAATAATGTTTTATTCAAGCTAACCCTTCAAATGTATGATCAAATCATTAACACACTCTGTCCCATTCGTGTTTCTACCGTGAGCAGTTGTTTGCATGGCTGTGTTTCTGTTTGAAGGGTGGGTGTTTCGTGAATTTACTGGGTACAGAGAAATAACACCTGAGTCCTCAGGAATGGCAACGCATGGGGGGTATCATGGGCGAAACAGTAAACTCTGTTATGCCCATGGTACTGCTTGTGTCTATAGGCGACGGTTACCTTTTTACATCAGGTGGGCCGTCAGCTTGTTTGCCATTCTAAGTTGTATAAAAAAAAATACAGTCAAACAAGTATGTAAGTAATCATACAATAATATAACTCATCAAAAAATAATTTTACTTACATATTTACAAACATAAAGGTGGGTAGGGAGGTAGGGGGGAAGGGATTGTTAGTAATGGGAAGGTTAATCCCCATTGCTATCAATATACCCTACCAAGTCGACCTTCACGCGGTTCTCCCTGGAAACTATAGTGGTTAATTTATCATTGAATTCGTGACGATGGTCTAACTGAGTTGCCTTTTCATCTTCATCAGTCATCCCTCACTGGTGCCCCGCCAGTGTATACCGATAGCGCAGGCGAAGTTACCATTCCATTATCATCCATAAAAAAAAGGTAAATGTACATACATATACACATACTGTAATAATTGTGAGCAATGCTGCAAGGTATAACTAGTAAAATATATCTTACATATGTTGCAGCAACTTAAATACACAAAAACTTCACGGCACGCCGTCCCAAAATGCGAAACTCGCGAGAAATATACATATATCAAAAACATGTGCGTTTTAAAATGAAAGCAGCCCCTTTCGCTGTTAATTTCATGGTTCCCTGCATTTTTATCTCTCACAACTGTTTATTTCTTTTTTGGACCTTTTATTTGTCATAGATTAGCGATTTTTTTTTCTTTTATGTTTATTTTTTTTTTTCGACTTAAATTTCTTTTGTCACAGTTTTCATTTAGTCTCTAGTTTTTTTTTTTTTATTATATATGTATGTATATATATTACATAAGCATGTTACGATATCCTCGTAAATTTTGAAGAGATTAGATAAATCACTTTATAGGTAAATCCTAAGTTGGGAGAAAGGGATTGTTAGTAAAGGGGATCTAACAGCTCCATTGCTACAGTATTCTCTCTCAGGTATACTTTGTCAGGTCAGATTATTCAGTTTCTCCTGAATACTGTCTTTGTTAATTCTTCTTGAATTCTTCACGATGGGCCAACGGCTTTCACCTTCATCTATCACACCTCATTGGTACTCCGCCAGCGTATACCGACAGTGCGTGCAGGGTTACCATTTTCACCCATTAAACAAACCCCAATTGTTGGCCTGTGTTGTAAATAAGTAAATCTTCGAATATATACAGTACAAGAAAAATTAATAGACAGAAAATTGTGTATTTTATTCGAATTACAGAAAAAGGAATTAATTAAAATAACAGATGATAACTAAGAACAATAATTTTAAATTTGTCAATGAAAGACCTTATTTAATTTTGTCTTTAATTTATATTATTTTCGCGGAACGAAATTCAGCTTGTCTTATCCGAACTTCTATATTTGACTCACGGTTTAATTTTACACGTTTTATAAATACTTGAATTTTTATATCTGTGAATCATCTCGTGGATAACGTTGGTTTTATTTGCGTCTGCTGTTGAGTCGAGGTTTCTCCTTTTGTTTTTGCCAGCATAAATGTTAATAAAACTCTGTTATAGTTATTTATTTCTTTTGTATAATAATTACAATATATTACACTCTCATAGTGGTCAAATGTTATCAAGTCATATGTCATAACTAGCTTTTGCCCGCGCCTTTACTCGCGTGTGGTATTCTATTTCTCACTTTTCCGTCGCAGTCTTATAAATTATAGCTATTGTCTGCGACTTTGTACGCACGGAGTTCTGGTAACACACCCTCCTTATTCTACGTTCTTAAGAGAATGGTTTTTTTCAAAAATGATTAAACTCTGTATTTTTTTAGTAAATGATTGAAATTAAAACTTTGCCTTTCTATTTTAAAATTAACAGATTTACTTCTTTTTTTTTTTTTAAATCAAGTCATCACCTATCTCATGCCTTTGCCTTGCGATAGTTTTGCTAAAAATCTTTTTGTTTTTTAAACAAGAGCTTAAAATAAACCTTCATATTTCTAACATCAAAAATAACAGAATTCATATAGAAATTTTCATCCCCCATTACACTCTTTAGGGATAAAATTTCCAAAAGTATTATAATAATATAATCAAAATATATTTTTATCAAATTTCCTTATTATTATGTACACAGCTGAGAGAAGAACTCACTGTAAAAAAGTTTAAGAAACAAAACCATGCACTCACGCCTAATTAGACAATAACAATAGTATATCTAATATTATATCAAACCATTATTCCTATTATATCGTATCAATAAATGCTAGTAAATTGCCTAGATATAGTTCCAACAATAAGTGTATTGAGCCAAGCAACTGCTAAATATAGAACGTAAAACATATTTCTGTTATATTTGGGTTGGAAACGTCCAAACGGAAAACTATTGTTATGGCTACGTAGTCCGATTCCAAAAAGTTGTCCCGATAGTAACGAGATATGAAGGAGATCTGCGTCTTCTAAATTATGATTTCTATTTAAAACAGATTATTTGTTGTCAGGGTAACTATTCCAATTTAGAGGAACTAGTCCTCGTAAATGTATCTGGAAGATTCAACCTTAAGAGTCTCATCCAGAGCCAAAGACTACAGATATCTTAAACCGCGGGAGATCGTTCGAGTAACACATAGGATCTACGAAATGATTGTATAAGGCAGGGGGAAGCACAAAAGATCCCGATGGGTCGACGTGCAACGGCTTAGCTGATCCAATATGCGAAAATAAGAGTCTCATGAAAAATTTCTTCCAAATTCTAAAGTTGGTTAAAACTATTACGTGAAAATTTTCTTTCACATCTGTAAAGTTAATATGGATGTATGTAAAAGAATAAGAAAAACAGCCTCTTTAGATAATTGCTAAATATATCTATCTAGACATACGTTTCTAGACTCCGCCATCAGAAAGAAAGAAAGAACCGTATCTATCTCATGGAAATGTATTCTGTCTCATGGATTCAGCAGCGATGATGATTCTGGCGATCGGTTTGTTTGCCCTTTGTTTAGGGATGCCATAATCGGTATCCCTTGAATTCTAGTGAATAGAAATGATGATACTACATTGAGTACTGTAATGCCACCTTCTCCTCTTGGTGATGGGATACAAGTACAATGTATTAATGCTTTCATCCCCAGGATATTGTAAAAGAAGATTACGACAAATATGCATCAATTTCAATGCATAAAAAAGACAATTTACATTAACACTGTACTGCCATATCAGATAAATCTAATAATAATATGCCTGCCTTCCACGTATGAGAAAAAAATCCGCGCTCAACGGTGGGACATCAATAGTCTGTTACGATAAAAACGTCACTTATCACGAATCGAGGATTTCAAATGGCATTGGTCTGTTTTTATATAAAAGATTTGTTTAAATAACAAATTTAATACTTATAAGATTACAGTAAGAAAATATACACGACCAAATTATCTGTACTGATAAACATGTACTTATCAGTGTTTGTGTAGCTATGGTCGAAAGCAGACATATTTTGTGAATTGATTTTAAATTACCAGCCAACCGACGTAACGTATATAGATTTAATTGTGATATGTGGTGATGTGATAAGACTCGAAACGTGTTCAAAATGGACTACATAGACTTTAAAGAAAAGGTTGTGATTGTGACTGGTGCCAGTTCAGGTATTGGAGCGAACGCGGCAAAAGCCTTTGCTGTTTATGGAGCAAGACTGACGTTAGTCGGAAGAGACGAGAGCAGGCTGCTGGCTGTCGCGAAACACTGTGAGTCTTGGAGCAAGACGGAGCCCCTCTGCCTTCTACTAGACCTGACCCAGCCGGGCAGCTGCGAGATCGTCATCGAGAAAACTGTAGAAACATTCGGAAAAATCAATGTTCTCGTCAACTGTGCAGGAAAACGGATCAAATCGTCCATGTTTAATACGTGTATGAAGTCCTTCGACGAGCAAATGAACATAAATGTTAGGGTACCGGTGTTTCTGACGAAGTTAGCATTACCACACTTGATCAAGACAAAAGGCAACGTGGTGAACGTTGTGTCATCATTTACAAAGCGTTATAAAGAAGATTACGTTCCGTATACAGTATCGAAGAGTGCGTTAAAGAAGTTCACAAATATAGCAGCACCTGAGTTGATGCCACATGGTGTTAGAATCAACGCAGTCAGTCCAGGCATCACGAAAGAAAGTCTGACTAACGATATTGTCTTAAGAAGTGAAGTAACGAACACGTTTGAAGCTCTCGAGTCGCAGTTACCGTCCGGCGCGGCGTTGGAAATGAAAGACGTTGTCCTGATGATCGTGATGGTGGCGAGCGACATTTTTCCTAACATGAACGGCTCTAATACATGTATAGATGGCGCCACCTGTATGATGTGATACGCCATAGAAATTTATCTCTTGTTTGTAAATGTTTAGGTCTACTTTTGTAATTAAATAATCATATCTGCATGATATCATTTCATTTATTTCCAGGGATTGCGTAATTGTTGTTGTATCTGTGATAGTGGCGCAGATAATGATGAGTCTTGTATATATTAAAATTTCATATACAAGTTTGAGATTTTCGTCGCCCAATTGACAATCTTAGGAAAGACTCGTCTGTTGAATATTTATTATTGTTTACAAGTAATGTAGTAATATTTACATAAGACTCCGTTAATTCTATAGTGACAATTTATAAATGTGCCATAACTGGTTTTATATAAATATTCAAGTCGATTTCAAGTCGAGTTTTCTATGTTTATCATTAGTTTTAATTAAAATGGCCGACAAACATGCCTCAATATTAGGTGTAATAATTTGTCAAAACATACACTAGACTACTGATAACCATAATAAAAAAAGTACATAAAGTTTTTTTATTTAATTCGTTAGATAAACTTCCTGTATTGATACCATTATTTGTTATTGTATTTTATCTGATATTATAGTCTAGTACCTAGCATAGTAAACACAGAAGTATTTGTTTCGGAAAACAATTCAAGTGTGCAATTTCAGAAATATGAGTGCAACTTGAAACAAGAGATCGGAAACAAGCTGACGGACTGTCTGATGGAGATTGTAACTGTCTATGAACACTTTAATTCATGCAAAAATTAAAATGGTAAACAAGCTGACGGCCCACCTGATAAAAAGTGGTAACCGTCGTCTATAGACATGAGCAGTACCATGGACATAACAGAGTATACTGTTTCGCCCATGATATCCCCCGCGAGTTGCCGTTTCTGAGGACTCGGGTGTTATTCCTCTGTACCCTGTAAATTCACTGTCCATATATCACTTTTCAAACCGAAACACACAGTCATGCAAACATAACTGCTTCACGGTAGAAACGCGAATTGGACAGAGGTAGCCAAGCAGACGACTTTTGCACAAAATCTCCTTTTGATTAACATACTATTGTCGATGGTTACCTATTACATTAGTTTTAAATTGTTTTAAAACAATATTAATATTTTTCACAAATAAATTACCGTATTTTTTTTTTTATGCAGAACAATATAAACTTAATATCTTGTTTATTTTAGGAATTCTTATCTCGCAAATATGAATGTTTTATTGTTTTTAACTTAGTGTTACAGTATCGTTGCCGAATGGCACTATACTGTGATAATGACAGGACCGTCCTCGCCAATGACCTTCCTAGCTACCACAATGTCATTAAATGTCAATCACTATGTAATACAGTGAATAAGTGTTAAATTATATAGCTAGTTGTAATTGAGCTCAGGTTTAAACATACAGGGTGTGTAGGAAAGTCGTTAGGGACTGTGTGTAATTTGAAATTACTCCGTAAAGTATATTATACGAGGTTTGTCCGGAAAGTACGTATAAAAGTTTTTTAAAAATTTTATTTTACAATTATTCAGGTAAATCAATTTTATCCCCTTCAAAGTACTCCCCCTGTGACATAATGCACTTGTGCCAACGCCGTTTCCACTGTGAGAAGGCTCCTTGAAAGTCCTCTGGTTGTAGGTTTCTCAGCTGCCCCGTCGTAGCTTTTTTTATCTCATTTATGTCCCCCAAATGCCGCCCCCGAAGTACCAATTTGGTTTTTGGGAACAAGAAGAAGTCACACGGGGCCAAATCCGGCGAATAGGGGGGTGTTCGGTCACCGTAATGGAATTTTTACTCAAAAACTCACGGACAACAAGAGAGGTGTGGGCAGGGGCATTGTCGTGGTGAAGAATCCAACGCCCCTCTCGCGCCAATTCTGGACGAACTCGTGCCACACGAGCTTTGAGGCGTCTGAGCACATCGACGTAGAATTTTCCATCAACTGTCTGGCCTGGAGGGACGAATTCTTGATGGACAATCCCCCGAACATCGAACTCTTTCTCGGCCCTCTCTGAATCTTTTTAGCCACTTGTGGACGGTTGGTTCCTTCACAGCATCATCCCCATAAACTGTTCTGAGATCGGCAAAAATTTCACGGCCATTCTTGCCGAGTTTCGAGAGAAACTTGATTACGACGCGCTGCTCTTCAACGGAAGCGGGCTCCATGCCGACGGGGTTTCGTTAAGAGGTAACTTCACAGATGGCGTGACAAGCCAGTTCGCACCGCACGGCGGTCAGACCAGAACTGAAGCATTGTTAGGGACATAAGGAAGGGGTCCTGCGCTTACCTGGCCTCCCCACTCCTCTTTCTCGCATTCCAGAACACTTTTATACGAACTTTCCGGACAGACCTCGTATGTATTTATATAATATTTTATTTAACTGTATATTTGTTTATATACTCTAAATATTAATAGTTGTAGCACTTCAGCTGCCCGCTAACGACATGCTTTCTCAACTGTATTGGGTTGACTGGAAGAGATCTCTGTCAGAGATATGGCCACCCTTGGCACAACATTTATAAATGCTTTAACAATGTAATTTACAAGTGCAATAAAGTTCAAAACCAACGAGGTTTTGAACGGTTATCTGAAGCTTGACACGTGTATGTATTTTATCTCGTAAATGCATTAAACAAATAAAGCTGACACCTTGCAAACTGTAAGCATTTTTAATTCCCAATCATCATATCTGCAAATGCCCCACTTTACCCTGCCTATTGATTACGAGTATAAATTTAATCCGGCACCTGTTGGCAACTACGAGTATGTTGATTTAAGCTCGATTTTGTAATAAACAACTCCAAATGCCCTAGTTAGCCGCTGCAATCCCATAAACAATCTCATTCAAGTCATACATACAATGTTGTATCGCCTTGAATAAATCTATAATTATAAAATCGTTTGTTTTTTTTTTATACGTCATAGAATGGCAAACAAGCTGACGGCCCACCTGATGGAAAGTGGTAACCGTCGCCTATAGACATGAGCAGTACCATGCACATAACAGAGTATACTGTTTCGCCCATGATACCCCCCATGCGTTGCCATTCCTGAGGACTCAGGTGTTATTCCTCTGTACCCAGTAAATTCACGCCATATCCCACCCTTCAAACCGAAACAGCCATGCAAACACAACTGCTTTACTGTAGAAACACGAGTGGAACAGAGGTGGGCAAGCAAACGACTTTTGTACAAAGTCTCCCTCTGGTAAGTGGTGAATCATAAATTATATTTTTGTTTCCTATATATATATTACGCTATGTCTGCATAAATTTTGCCTCATATACATACATACATACATCATACAACATCCATGCAAACATCAAAATGTCACCCTTCTTCATTCAGCAGTATCTGGAAGAGATGTGTACTGATTTGAACCGTGCCCCCTGCACGCCATCAATAACCACCTTGCAAGATTTATCATCTTGTCTCTTGTTTTAGAAACAATGCAACCAAAACATCCCTGTAGGGTGCATACACGTTTGGTAATAAATGTGTCGGATAGAATTTTTATAATTCTTAGCAAACTAGTTGACTATCCATTTGATGGAAAGTGGTAAATTTTGCCTATAGACATGTACAGCACTGTTCGTGATTCGAACACACAAATATTATCATCATTATTTCAGCGGTTAATTGTCCAGTGCTGAACTGAACTGCCTTCCCCATAAGGGTAGTTTTACCAGTAGTTGCCACGCTTGGCAAGCGAGTTGCTAACCGCAGTTAGGCTTTTGGTGATGTTTTAAGAGGGACGCTGCCTCCCATCCCTCGATCATTAATTTTTTTTATACAACATAGAATGGCAAACAAGCTGACGGCTCACCTGTTGGAAAGTTGTATCCGTCACCTATAGACATGAGCAGTACCATGGACATAACAGAGTATACTGTTTCGCCTATAATACCCCCCCATGCGTTGCCATTCCTGAGGACTCAGGTGTTATTCAAACCGTCAAACCGAAACACAGCCATGCAAACACAACTGCTTCACGGTAGAAACACGAATGGGACAGAGGTGACCAAGCAAGACTTTTGTACAATGTCTCCCTCTGGTAAAGTTCTCTTAGTCGCCTCTTACGGCATCCATGGGAAAGGAAGAGGTGGCCCACTCTATGCCGGAACCTCATGGCGAGGCCAGTGGTGTTAAACATACAAAATAATATGTCATTATAGCCGGCTTTATTGTCCTTGTGAAGTACAGTAAAAAATTTCTGGTTTTAGCTGTAGGTCAGAACAAACAATTTTATAAGTTTAGATTATCTGTATCCCGTGACTTTGCCTATATGGATTAGCGTAAAATTTATCTTATCTGTTAAATGTCCTACGCGTGTATCAAATTTCATTGAAACCCGACCAACCGTTTTATAAGTTTTCACCTTTATAAATTTACTAAGAATTTAAATATTAAATGGTGACCCTGTTAGAGCGGGCATTTATTTGTGAATTTACTTTGAGCGGTATATTTGTCTCGGCGTTTAACCACTTAATAATATGGGGTGTGCATGTATATACTGCGATGATTAATGAGGGGTACTTTGTGACACTGTGTCGAGATGCTCCTATTTTGGGGAGCCCGATGATGATGCGTGTCTTTTGATTCGAGTGGGAACCTCTTTATCAGACCTCGACGAGTTTTGAATTATTTATGACTAGTTGTTTCCCGTGGTTTTGCGTGTGTGATAGATTGTGCCTTGCGTGTTTAGAGTTCCGTACCAAGGTGGTGCTAATGAACTCTAGTTTTTTTTTTTTGATGCTATATTTCAACAACTAGAAATAGTATAAATTTGAAATTGTTTTAGAACAATTTTTTAGTGACCAACTAACTACCTTGATAGGATAATTATAAAACTTTTAACACCAGAGGAAGACTTTGTACAAAATTCGATTGCTTGGGTACCTCTGTCCCATTCGTGTTTCAACCGTGAAGCAGTTGTGTTTGCATGGCTGTATTTCGATTTGAATGTATGGGATATGGCGTGAATTTACAGGGTGCAGAGAAATAACATCTGAGTCCTTAGGAATGGCAACTGGCATGGGGGGTATCATGGGCGAAACAGTATACTCTGTTATGTCCATGGTACTGCTCATGTCTATAGGCGACGGTTAC